AATGAAATGGAAAATTGATACAAATATGTGAAAAAAGAAGAAAGAAAAATGCCTAATAAAGGAGTCCCACTGGCACTAAAAAGCTACCCAAAAACTACATGCTTATTAAACTATAACCTATGGATACTTTTTAAGACGGACATCATAGAAATTAGCATGAAAAAAATTGCGTATAATAGGGTATAAAAGAGAGTGTACAATTCCATAATCTTCTAACCCAAAATTATTTGTTGCTTAAAAAACAGTTTAGATCGATATTGAGGCCCTGGGCGCCACTGAATCCAATAGATAACTCCATTTGGACTCATTCTGGGAGATCCCACTAGTAAGGTTGGAACCTCTCCAATAGCCTTCAATCTTGTCAATACCTATAACTTTTAACCCTTTAGGATCTCGATTGTGGAAGTTTTTAAAATGTCTCAACAAACTGTGCTTATTAAAACCCCTTTTAATGTTGTTGACGTGCTCTTCTAGTCTTTTCCTTAGTTCTCTAGTTGTCCGTCCCACTTATTGTAGCCCACAGGGGCATTCTAACAAATATGTGACAAATCTACCTAAGCAAGAAATAAATCTATTAATTTTATATTCTGTATTCGTAATATGGCATCTAAATGAAACAATTTTATTTTTTGTCTCTGTCGCTCTGCAACACACATGTCTCCCCAAGGGAAAAGGCTTTTTCCTTCAAAAAAAGGAAACCTTACGTGTAGGTGGGTCCAGAACATTGTTTACCAATCTATTACTAAGCGCAGGTGCTTTTCTATAAATGATGTTTGGTTTATCAGGGAGTAAGGGACCTAAAAGTTTGTCTTTTTTAAGAATGTACCAGTGTTTTTAAAAATGGATTACAGTTTTTTGTGTTGAAATGAGAAATTGGTAATGAAAGAAAAAGGAAAGGGCACTTCCTTTATTCAAGATGGTTTTAACAGTCTATTTCATTCCATCTTTAGAACCTCCTCTCTGACTCTGTCAAGATCTATAGCCCTTTTCCCTAAATCTGTCCACCAGCATGTTGGATTGTGAGAGATAGTCTTCCGCTTCAGTGCAATTTCGTCTAGTACGGGTTAGTTGTCCTTTTGGAATACCTCCCAACCATTTAGGGTGATGATAGCTGAATATCGGAATATAATCATTCTTATCCGTTCTTTTAACTGTTCTTAACCGGTTTAAAAAAAGTCTTAGTAACAAATTTGGCTTAATTTCTATTAATATCTAAATCAAAAAATTGTGTATTAATATTACTAATGTTATTCGTGAATGTCAAATTATACTCATTAAAATTTAAAGTCTCAATAAAAGTCTTTTTCTGCAGCCCCAGCATTCAATGAATGGGAAGCCTCAGTACAGAGGCTTCCCGTTCATTCACAAACTCATGATAGTAAAAATATCTTACTATCATTAGTTTCTGAATGGGGAGGAGCCTCTGTAGTGAGTGCTAGTCCCCATTCATAAATTCTTTAATGAACAGGCTGTGATGTAGATGCTGTAAACGGAGGGATCGATAAATAGCAATGATATTTAACGACCCCCCGCTCGGCCACGCTACAGAGCCGCTGTCATCCAAAAACTGACCGATCCGGCTCCGATCACTATGCCGCTCGGCCATCCCGAATTGCGGCCAGCCGCCGCTTGCTCCCGGGAAGCCGTTGATTTTATTACGGATCCCCGCTGCCACAGACCCTACTAGCAGCGGGGATCCATGGAGTCTCTCATCCCTAACTGGGGTGGCTCCAGGGAGGGATAAGAGACTCCAGATGCCGGCGGCCGGCAGCAGCGGTGCAGGGGGGGGGGCGCCCGGTATTTTCAGTAATAGCGGTCATCAGCGGCTTGTGAGCCGCTGATGACAGCTGCTATTTTGACGGGGACAGTCAGCTGAACAGTTCTGCTATAAGCTTATGGTCGCTAAATCGACCATGAGCTTATAGCAGAACTGTAAATGCCACCGACGTAAGGCATACTGAGCTGGCAAGCCGGGAACACTTTTGTTCCGCCGTATGACTTACGTCGGTGGCAGCGAAAGGGTTAAAAGTCAGTAGGTCACCCTCCCAAATCACAATGATGTAATTAATATATCGTTTCCATAAAATAATATTCTCTACCCTTTTATTAAAAATGCATTCTTCTTCCCACTTGGCCATATACAAATTTGCCAATCTCGGGGCACATTTGGCGCCCATTGCCATGCCTCTTTCCTGGAGGTAATAGTTATCTTTATACCAAAACAAGTTTTTGCACATAGCAAAAGTAGTGCACTCCAAAATGAAATCTTTCTGTTCTTTGTATGTACTATATTTATCAAAGGCCCATCTTATCGCCTCCAACTCTTTCTGATGCGGAATCACTGTATGAAGTGAATTAACATCAATGGTGGCCATCAGCATATCCTTATTTGCTTCTATTTGTTCCAAAATATTGAGGATATCTTTCCTGTCTTTAAGGAAGCCCTCTGTCTGAACTACTAATGGCTGCAAAAGGTAATCAATGTATTCCCCCAATCTGGCAATTAAGGAATCTATTCCACTTACTATAGGTCTCCCCGGTGGTGATTCCACATTTTTATGAATCTTAGGCAAAAAGTATAAAATGAGTGTTCGACAAGTGGAAGGTAACAGGTAATCCTTTTCCTTTTTAGTTAAAAGATCTTGTTTGAAACCCTTATTTATTAATTTATCCAATTCTTTTTTTATTTTTCATTAATAGGATTTGTTTTCAAGTTTAGGTATGTATCTTTAGTCTGTAGGATATTATTAATTTCCCATTTATAGTATTATTTATCCATTATCACAACCCCTCCCCCTTTATCAGCAGGTCTAACAGCCACATCCTCCCTAGCTTCTAAGGTTTCTATCCCCTTATTAATAAAGGTTTTATTTTTGGCATACTTAAGTTGCAAAGATTTGACATCTTCCTCAACCAAGTTTTTAAAAACCTCCACAAAGTGATTAGAGCTCATTTTAGGGTTAAAAATCGACTGATGTCTCAGTGGTGTGTGAAAATAGGTCCTAATAGCAGTAGATGGCATTTTGGATGTAAATTCTGAAGATGCAGAGTAATATTTTTTTAGATTTAACTTTCTAATACATTTCTGAATGTCTATATAGGTGCCAAATGTATTAAGATTATTAACTGGGGCATATTTTAAACCTAAATTAAGAACTCCTTCTTCCTCGGCCGTCAGAGTGGCAGAACTAATATTAAATATTCCTTTCCCTAAAAATCCCTGTTTCCTCTGTGATAGTAGCCTCTTCCCTCCCCTACAACCTCTCCTCGTCCTCTTGTGTAGATCCCCGTGTAGCTAATACGTTTTCCAGATCGGTACTTCCTTAGTGTGTTCAGCAGGAAAGATCTTTCATTTACGTCACACTCTCTGTGGAGACACAATAACCTTTTTTTAAATGTAAGCGTTTACTGTTTTTTATTTGAATACATTTTGCCTACTACACCATGAGCATCTCTGATCTTTTCCTTTATGGTCCTTATTGGAGATGAATATAGGATCCTACTGGGTTTGAGGGACGTGAGGATGTGGAACTCTTCCTATCTTAGCGTGTCTGGCTGTTGATATACAGTCCTACTTTGCAGTGAGTGCATACCCTGGAGGGGCATCTTTCCTGTTGAACGAAAGGAAGTACCGATCTGGAAAACGTATCAGCTAGACTGGGATTTTTATAGCACCTGGAAAGAAAACATACTTTGTTGCTTTTCTTCATCTTCACTTAATTCTTTTTTTGTTGGGAATTTACAAAGGACAAAAAAAGAAACTTTTCATCACATTGAAATAAGTTGTGGTTTACATTGGGGAATACCTTTTGCTACTATTTTATACGATGTGTTTATACCAATTGAGTTCTAGGATCACTTTTTTTGCACAGACAGTTTATATTTGTATATCCTTACACGTATTAGCACTTTCAGTGTTCCTCATGATGAGGTTTTGATTATTTATATGATGTGATTTGTTTATAATATGTATTTAACAGGGCTCAAAATTTCAAGTCCTGAGCTACTAGCCAGATCTTAAGAGTTAGTCGCCACCAGTTGCCCCACCTAACCCTTACCCTGCCCCGGCCTTAACTCCACCCCTAAACACACCCTCTTAAATAGTCTTATGATAATTCTTATCTTATGATAGTTGCCGCTTGTAAACGGCAGATTAGGTGTTCCTGCTGCAGGAAAATGCAAGTTTTCAGGAATCCCTAATCACACCTGAAATATACTGTAGGTGTGAATGGGTGTATTTTGGAAGGGAGGAGGCTGAGAAGAATCAATCCCTGGTGATCTAGCTGTCTCATGCTACCATGTACAGGACACGCCCCTGTGGTACACAGTGTTTAAGTGTATCTCTAACTCAGCTTCTTTAAAATAGACTGACACTTTTTTTCCATTCCTGAGGGTTCCAAGTAGCGGACAATCTGCTGCTCGACCCACTATCTCCTGGTGGATTCGACAGCTCATCATTCAAGCCTACAGACTTAAGGACAAGGTTCTACTCTTACGTGTCAAAGTGCACTTCGCTAGATGAGTTAGTGCTTCTTGGGCTTTTCAGGATCAGGTATCTGTTTCTCACATTTGGAAGGCTGCCATCTGGTACTCTGTTCACACATTCAGTGCATTTTACCAGGTGGATGTTTAGGCCTCCTCTGATGCCAGCTTCAGCCGTAAGGTTGTTCAGACAGCTCTGTGAGCTCTATTGAGCCACTTATGGACTTTTTAGTTAAGATATTTTAATTCTATTCTACTATTGCTTGCTACAAACCTATGGACATGATGAGAGTGGGAGGGGTTATACTAGGCTGTCTTTACAGCTTCATTTGCCAGTGTGCAGTCCTCTGAAGGTAGCATAACATAACCTTTATATACCTGAATTACATCCGGTGTCCATTAATGTACTCCCCAAAAATTATTTTACGGTAAGTCAGAAATCCTTAATTAAGTCATTACGCTTATTTAGCTATTTATTTCATTTATAAATATTACTTTTTTACATCATTCCTTTTTAGGTATATGTGGGAGAAGGATGGGGTACCGTTTGAACCAAATGACACAAGAGTTGAGCAGAAAAAAGATTCAGGAACGTTAATCATTTCCAATTCCAATGGAAATACGAAGGATTTCCAAGGAAAATATCGTTGCCATGCCAAAAATGATCTGGGAACAGCTGTGTCAAATGAGGTCCATGTGATCACAGAGGGTATGTCTACCTTAAACTTTTTCTATGTGCTGAATGCTTCATTTATATGTAATTCATCAGTGCCTGAAATATTAATTGTTTGTGTTGCTGCATTGCCAATAATGAGATATCAATTTGCACTGTAAAATAACAGTTGGAGTGCGAAATTATGAGTCAGACTGGTGAATGTAGCTTTTATTGTTAATTATTTGATAAATAAACTGATTGTTTCTGGTCCCTGGTTATTCTGTAGTTTGAAAGGCCACATTTAGTCTGTTCTTGTCACGAGCCGTACTTCAGGGAGGTGAGGTGGAGCTGCGGTTCTAACCGGTAGGGTTGAATATGCGGTGTCAGGCTTAAATCCCAGGTGGCTCTCTCAATCACAAACGGAGAGTTTGGGATTTAGAAATCATATACCGCAGTGAAAATAACAAAAAGGTAGAATGCACTATATGTGAGGAATATTACTCCATATTCCTAATAACATCACAAGTGGTATTGAGACTGGGGAGCATGTAATTACTAAACAGTCTTTTTAGATGAGAAGCACAATATCAGCAGAAGCAATCCAGTAATAGACTAATAGTATTTAGTGCATAGGCAAATAATGAGGCATGTATATAGAGAATCCACAAGGTGGCAGTAGAGCGACTCTACAGAGTAACACAGTCTGAGATAAAGCAAGTACTTGCAGTTAAGGGGATAGAACCCCTTGGTTAGGCAGATCCTCTGGAGTCCTGGAAAAGGCTTCCTTGCAGTGGAGATGAAAGGTCCGGATGGGAGGCTTGTTGTTCTGGTGCTGGGTAGCTCCTGGGGTGTTGGTCCATGAACCCAATAGTGGAACGCTGTCCATGGGTTCAGAGGCCTCTTATATACTGGTGGAACGCATAGCATTACGCGCCCATGGGGAGGAGGCGCCCTGAAATGCCCACGGCCGATGCATTCCACTCCTGGAACGCAGCCGGCTCGTGGATCCGAACCCGGAACTATTACAGTTCTGACTTACTGTCAGTCTTTTAGAGACTCCAGTGGTGTGATGTTTCAAGCTCTGCCCCTCCCCCTGAGCCAGGTTAAACTGTGCTGGAACTCTCGGGGTGTCGTGGAGAGGACGGACCTGCAGTGTTATTAGAAATTATTTTGGCGACATCGCCAAGATCATTTGTAAATGAACGAGCGGCTTCTCCGCTCTACATTTAGCCCTGCTTGCCTTGCAGGGCTAAATGTAGAAAACAACTACTAGCCCGGTCCCCGGAACTGGATGTCCCGGGTGTCGGGAGATTCTACACCCCTGCCACCCCTCTGCTTCTTGCCGCCCCGTGGCCGGGCCTTGGTGGCCTTGTGGGAAATCCGGCCCTGACTACCAGCAGAGGAGATGTTTTAGAACATGGTGCAGTTACCCATACTAACCAATCATCTTAAAATTTAATAAAGGCAGCTGACTGAAATATGAATTTTGAGTGGGATGCTATGAATTCTTTTACTGTGCTATTTCCTTATTGAATAAACATATAGGAGTGGAATTAGTGTATAGGGACATAGTCCACCTTAATAGCGTATTAGGCTGCATTGCACCAGGTGAATGCGTGAAGATTACTAATGATTCACATCACCACGAGTATTGCCATCTTTTTACATATGTTATTAAAATGTTGTGGTCAACCAATAGAGAAAAAAAAATGATTACAAAGAAAGCCTCCGTAAACAGAACCCTTTGCACACAGTTATCTCCAGTTGATCCATAGTAAGTCAAAAACAAACCTTTATAAAGTATGGTCCTATAGGGGAAAAAAATATTTCCTGATCCCCTAAGCCAATCAAATATTCCCTGGATCAACAATATCTGGTGTTATTACTTATAAATATTATGAAAGTTATAATCTGTGCATTTTAAAATGCATCCAGCTCTTTTGAAAATAATTAACTGAGCTGGGAAGAACACACAGGGACCAATTTTCCATTTTTTGGGTTTGGTACCAATACTTATTGCTGGGTTGAATGATTGTCTGTAAATCATCTCCCTTGAAAGACTCCACCAGATACCAACCCTATCTGATAAGGTTTCTCCATCTTTAGTTCTGTGTCTAGTTTTTCTTTATGCAATACTGTTTCAAGGTTTCCTGTCACTTTTGGCACTGCTTATGTCTGCTATTAGCAGACATAAGCAGTTACACTTTTCTTTTAATTTTACGTAGTGCCTGTGGTGGTATACAGTATCCAAAGATATACAACATTTGAAATGTTGTGTTCTTCTACTGGCAGTGTGTCAGATTGGTTTAATCCAGTAGGGCATCACTTGCATAATTTGAAACTAGAACCATTTTTAAACTTTGGTGAACATTTTTATAGTTTTAGGTAGCATTATAGGATCTTATCTCATATGCCTTTAATAGGAAAACCATCTGTCCACTTCTAGATGTTGGTTAGAAATGTGATATTTAGATTTGGGTATAATAAAGAAATCAGATATGGTCTCTTCTGCTTTAGGGTATCTAAGGTGGTGGGTTTAAGAGCCAGTGGTAGATCATGACTGTTATGTTTGAGGTAACTGTGGATTTGGGAATTATTAAGTTAATGACTGGGTAGTACAATGTATATTGTGTGGGGCATAACTCTGAACATGTCTAACGTCTGAGGATATTGGTCAAAAAGGTTACTTATGGTTTTCAGATTATTCTGTGTCCACAAGGAGACAAGGCACAATGAGAGGATTTACCTCTGCACAGTGCTCCTATTTGGCCTGGGTCACTTTAGCTGCCTACAGTGTCTGTACACAGGGCACACCCTCGCAACTGGCTGTGAGTTTTGTGAGGGGATGCACATGGTGGATCATAGTCATGGGGTAACTTGGGTGGGAGGTGTGGAGGCCACACAGCAGGATTTTGGCTATGGCCAGGGATCTACCCCTGTTATTCTGTTAGTCCCATGCTGTGCTAACTATCCCCTTCACTGCTAGCAACATTGCCCTCTCCAGCTCCCTCTGGAGCTTTTTCCTCAGATGTGTTATCTATATCTGCCATTATAGTGGATTTTATGGGTAGGATGGCTGATCTCTTTGATACTCATAGTAGCCTTCTGCTCTCTCAAAGACCCCCTTTGACTTTCCTCTGCATACTTTAACACTACCTGTGGAAGAGGGAGAAGCAGGAACTGTTTCCAGTTCTTTGAAATGCTGTCAGCAAGAGGACCTGTCTCTTGATATTTCCCCTAAGCTGAAGGACACATTTTCTGTGTGCACCTGTTTGCAGACCACATACACTGACCCTTCCGGAGGTTACAAGTTTGGGGTCCTTGAAATTGCCCTAACCTGTTAAAACCTTTACTATTCACATGCTTTTACAGCATGTGTTGTATGTTGACAGGGATCACACTGGGAAGTTGTTCTCTCTCCCTAAAAAGTGTGCCCAACAGTATCCTAATAAGGATGGCTTCCTAAAGAATTGGGTGGTTCCCTACCATGGAACAAGGACATTACTGTCCCTGTAGATGATGCACCTGTTTTCAAGAACCACACGAACAAGAAGTTGGAAGCCCTATTTATATTTGCTCTTGCAAGTTTGGCCATGCAACCTACAGTGTATCAGACCTTGTCAGTCTAGTTCTGGGTTTATCTTGATTGACCTCAAAGTTCTCAAATTTTTAATCTTTCATTCATTAAAGGAAACAGCAGAGACCTTAAATCTCTGACCATTGGATTATAGCTCCACCTTTAGGAATAAGGCACTAGGCACAAAAACGCAGCCTAGGGGCGGCCACTGATGGTGGCCAAACCCCCATCTGCCAGCTGTAGCTTGGTTTTTTGCCTAGTTTCAAAGATTAAGGACCTAAGCTCCCTGCTTGTAATCCTAGTTCCATTTCTTTTTGTTCAGTCTTCATGACCTATAATCAACAGCTGAGCTGGGTGACAGGCTGGATGATATAGATCCTTATGGGGGTGTGATCTCCGATGGCCGGGTAAAGACATGTTTTACTAGAGCTCCTGCACCTGCCACCCTTTTATTGTGGGGGAACCGCTGTCAGCCTCATTTTCTCAAAACTAGTGGGAGAAGTTGCAAGAAGAATTCCAGGAGTGTGGGTATGACCAATCTCCCTGAATCCAGGTCAGAAATTGGCACTTTTTTTCTGCAAGTCTGGAGAAACCACACAACCAATATAGTGGCTCCATATGGAGACTCAGAGGCATCCTCTCCTGCCAGCTTGTCCCTTCCTCGCGGCAGGTCTGGACATTCCCATCACAGAAACCCATCTGATTCTGATAGCGATGTGACTGAGGTGAAATTCCCTGGCCCCATGGGGAAATATTTCTCTTTCCTCCCCACTAAACGCGACCTAGAGGCCCTATTCCACCACATGGAAGAGACCCACAAGAGAGAGATAGCTGAGCTCAGCACTAGCCTTTAGGGGTTTCATGAGAGAAACAGTGGTAACATCTATACTCACTGCTTACTCAGATTTCCATGTCACCATTAAGGAGCAACATGCTCATCTTCAGGCCTTATTTCGATGATTTGAAAGACTATCATTGACAGAACAATATCCACTTGCGGGGTATACCAAAAATGACCGTCCCTGCAGATCTTATCCCAATGGTATAGGACATCTTTAACACCCTTCTGGGCAACCCAGTGGCAGAACCAATCAAAATTGATCTTGTTCATCACACTCCTGGATTCTGCAACCCTAACTTTTCACAGCCATGGGACGTCCTCTGCAGGATCCATTTTTTCAAGCAGAACAAATCGAATCTACTTAAAGCCAAAATAAAAACAGGGACCCTTGACTACTTTGATGGAGCCCAAATCACCTGGTTCCCAGATCGGTCAAGGATAACACTGGCTAAGTGGAGAACCCTACACCTGCTGACACAAGCTTTTACAGAGGCGAATGTCCCTTATTGTTTGGCATACCTGTTCCACCTTATCGCCCAAAGGAATGGTTGCACTCATGTCTTGCATACGCCCGTGGATTTGAAGTTCTTTGCATCCAACCTGGGCCTACCATCAGTGGAGCTCGAGCCCTGGCTG